GCCAGTGTGATGTCTCTACTCTTTACTATTTTATCGAGATTGGACATTGCTCTCCTCCCAAGAAGTAAGCGTCTTCTGATTTCCTGGCCACAGTCTGCATCTGCAGTAATCTTTGCACCTAGAAATACAAAATCTGTCACAGCCTCCACATTTTCTCCCTCTATTTTCCAGTTGCCGATCATTCTTGTTGCTATAATCTTGGGTTTTTTTGCCATTTAACTGCAACCCAGCTTTTGCTTTCTTCTTTCACCTTGATTAGAAGGCTCCTCAGCTCCTCCTCGCTTTCGGCCATCAGAGTGGTGTCATCTGCATATCTGAGGTTGTTAATGTTTCTTCCAGCAATTTTCACCCCAGCCTTGCGTTCATCAAGCCCCGCACATCGCATGATGTGTTCTGCATACAAGTTAAAAGGTTGGGTGAGAGTATGCAGCCTGCCATACGCCTTTCCCAATCTTGAACCAGTCTGTTGTTTCCTGGTCAGTTCTTACTGTTGCTACTTGGTCCTTGTACAGATTCCTCAGGAGAGAGACAAGGTGGCTTGGGATGCCCAGACCACCAAGAACTTGCCACAATTTATTATGATCCACACAGTCAAAGGCTTTAGAATAGTCAATAAAACAGAAAGAGATGTTCTTCTGAAACTCCCTGCCTTCCTCCATTATCCAGCAGATATTGGCTATTTGGTCTTTCATTCCTCTGCTTTTTCTAGAACCAGCTTGTACATCTGGCAACTCTCGCTCCATGTATTGCTGGAGTCTTCCTTGCAGGATCTTGAGCATTACCTTACTGGCATGAGAAATAAGGGCCACTGTACGGAAGTTGGAGCAGTCTTTCGCATTTCCCTTTTTTGGTATGGGGATATAAGTGGATTTTTTCCAGTCTGATGGCCATTCTTGTGTTTTCCATATTTGCTGGCATATGGCATGCATCACCTTGACAGCATCATCTTTTAAGATTTTAAACAGTTCAGCTGGGATCCCGTCGTCTCCTTACATTACACTCATCAATTAATTTTAGCAGAATTTTTGAATTTTTTTACTATACAGTGTTACCTCAATTATTGCAGGGGTTCTATTCCAGGACCTGCCGCAATAAGCGAAATAGGGATGCCTGGCTCCCCCACCCTTCCTCCTTCTCTTCCCCCCTCCTTCCTAAATCACCAGCACTTCGATGTGAGGCTTCTGAGGCCGCTGAGGAAAGGCCAGGACTGGCCCTCAGGCAGGGAGGAAGAGAAATAGCGTGCTTGCCTGGCCGAGGCTTTCTCTGCTGAAAGTGGCCCTCGCCATCCCAACCCTCTCCTCGACCCTGTCCCCTCCGCCTCCAGCGCCTTTGGGCCTCAGACCAGCCTGCTTACCGATTTGGGGACCAGCTGATTCTCCTCGCTGGGCACCATGGCCCGTGGTGCAGGCAGGCAGGCAGGAGGCAGAGGGAGGGAAGGAGAGCTCACCGGAGTAGGAAGGAGGCACGGATGGGAGAAGAGAAGGTGGCCGCAGAGGGTTTGTTGAAAGTAGTGATGATTCCCTTGCTCTGGATGGCAGCCTCCTCTCCTCCTCCTCTTTCCCCGACAGCAATGCCTCAGTGCCCTCCCTCCGCCAGCACCAATCAATGGCTGCCAGCGCCAATAAATGCATATTTATTTTAAAAATACATTTTTTTTAAAAACCCGCAAAACAGCGAGCAGCGAAGCAGCAAGGGAACACTCTGTGTGTGTGTATACACACTACAAAAGCTATCTCCTGGATTCATCACTGAGCCTGGAATCCCAGGTTGCAGCGGTGGCCAGGGGAGCGTTAAAACTTGTGTGCCAGCTGCGCCCGTACCTTGGGAAATCAGACTTGGCCACGGTGGTCCACGCTCTTGTTACATTTAGGATAGACTACTGCAATGCACTCTATGTGGGGTTGCCTTTGAAGACTGCTCGGAAGCTTCAAATAGTCCAATGAGAAGCAGCCAGGTTAATAACTGGGGCGGCATACAGGGAGCATACAACTCCCATGTTACGCCAGCTCCACTGGCTGCCAGTTCGCTACCGGGCACAATTAAAAGTACTGGCTTTGGCCTATAAAACCCTAAATGGCCCTGGCCCAAATTACCTGTCAGAATGCATATCTCCCTATGAACCATTGCAGAGATTAAGATCCTCCAGGGAGGCCCTGTTTTCCGTCCCATCATTGTCACAGGCATGATTGGTGGGGACGAGACACAGGGCCTTCTCAGTGATTGCTCCCCGGCTATGGAACTCCCTTCCTGGTGAGATCAGGTCGCCCCCCTCCCTCCTGTCCTTTAGAAGAATGGTAAAAACTTGGCTGTGGGAAAGATGACCAGGCCAATTAGATTTGACGTGGATGACTAGGACGGTTTTAAATGGTGTATTTTAATATTTTGATAAATGTTTTTTAATGTTTATGTATTGTATGTGAATTTGTGTCCCGGCATTGAATGTTTGCCGTGTATATGCTATGCTCTGCCCTGAGTCCCCTTTGGGGTGGGAAGGGTGGAATATAAATGTTTTAAATAAATAAATAAATACTTGGATTTTATATACAATGCACAAGATAACCAGGGCATCAAAGCAGATCATCCACAATATTTGCTTTGAACTGGATTATCTGAGTCCACATTGCCATATCATCCAGTTCAGTGTGGATTTTATACACCTGTGTGGAAGGGGCCTAAAAGCATCTGAAGAAGTGGGCCAAGGCAGAACTAATTGGGGCTGTCCCTGCCAGATCGGAACAGTTGGAGGGCATGTCATGCTGGCCAGAGGATTTGGGGAGCTGCCGTCCAAAAAAAAGGGAACACTCCTAAGCATTGCAGATGGTATAGTAGATGTGCCGCCTAGATGTTGGGATATGTCTTCGGGAAGTTCATTTGCTGGTGCTTAAAAAAGATCTTTGCACATTTCCATGTCTCCTGGACACATAAGCAGACTAACCGAGGAAACACAGGCGACCAGGAGCTAGTGGAGATCAACTGCAAGGACATCACTTGTATTCAGGTATGACTCTTGTTGTTGTTCTCTATTCTAGGGACCTTATCAGACTGCATAATGGAGAAGCATTGATAAGCTAAGCAAAGAGAGGAATCGGGAGCTGACTTTATCCTCCCTCGCTCCTTGGACTTTTTAGTGCTTCCCTGTAGGCACCCTCTCCCTTCCTCATCACACAGAGGCACTAAGTCTCTGCCCCCAGCTTTTTTCTTCATGCAAATCTGCCAGTATCCCTTTCCATGAGATGCAATAGTTCTGCATCTAAAACCCATTAGACCCTTGAGACAGGGGTGCTTTTTTATACAATTGCTTTCCATGGGATGCAATTGTTCTGCATCGGAACCTATTGGACTCTTGAGACGAGGTGCTGTTTGGAACCATTGCTTTTCCATGGGGTGCAATTGTTCTGCGTCAAACCCCATTGAACCTTTGAGGCATGGATGCTGTTTTGAACCATTGCTTTCCATGCGGTGCAATTATTCTGCATCTGAGCCCAGGGGTGCTGATTTAAACTATTGCTTTCCATGGGCTTATATGACAGTGTAGAAGGGGCCTTTATCCTTCTTAAATTAACTGATTTATGAGGCCATAAAGAAGACTCCAGCAAAGCATTCCAGCGGGGAAGCATGCGGGGAATGCGGAAGTGCTTCATCAGCGTCGCAGATGGACAATGAAAGCGACAGTTCCCCTGGTGGCCAGAAAAAGTTAAATAGCCTCTGTGTATGTCTGTATATGTTTGTATGTCAAAAATTGGCATTGAATGTTTGCCATATATGTGTACACTGTAATCCGCCCTGAGTCCTCTGCGGGGTGAGAAGGGCGGAATATAAAAGCTGTAAATAAATAAATTAAACTGAGTTGCCCATAACTGAACCTCCTTCTCACATATACTGCTGCTAAGCCAAGGATCGCTCATCCCATCAGTCTGCATGTGATATTTGTAGTCTATGATGTGGTCTGTATAAGGTAAATCCCCTGTGGCATCCAATTGTGTTTCAAGTGATTCTTAGCTTAATTTCAAATGCCTTTAAGCTTTACAAGTATGGTAAATAACATGAAGAGATGGACCCAGCTGGATGCTGTTGACCACATACATGCAACAAACAATGAAGAAATTGAGCATTTAGAATTCATGGTATGAAGCCTGTTTTGCAGAGTGGAAAACGTTCAGGCTGTGACTGATCCTAAAATCAGGAAATCAGTTGCAGAAAATTCTGAGTCAGTTTCCTTGAACAAGCCAATTAAGCTATGGCAATGTGCTCAGCCACAACCAACTCACAACACTAAATGGGGGCGGATGAGGGAGTTGTAGGAAGGCTCAGATGGAGCCAGGGGCGTTTCTTCAGTCTGATGCAGCTCTGCTTTCTCTTCTCAAACAGGATGACTGGGATGTGGAAGAGTTTGTCTCAAAAACATGTATGGGGATGTTTCTCCATCACAAAGCCTTCAAGATCTTATTGGCCACCTTCATCATGTTTAATGCCATTCTTATTTCTCTGCGGACAGAGCCCACTTTGGAAGAGGTATGTTTACTAAGCTATTTGCGGCCAGGATTGAAGAGCCTTTTAGTGAGATACAGTGCACTCTTTCATTCCCCTTTTCATTATGTTCAGGCCTTTGGCCAGGGAGAGGGTGGTATGGCTAGTTGGCCACTTCAGCAGCCTCTCATATTTCTCCTCCAAAAGCAGGAACAGAGTGGCCACTACTCTCAGTGGACTGTATTCTGTGTGTGTTTCTTTCCGGGTGGAGTATGTGGCGAAAACAAGGGACATCATCACACGGGATAAGTAAAATGTTTGAGATCTTTGGTTTTCCCTTAAGCTTTGCCACAGCCCATTTTGAAATAAAACAGAAGATTTTCCTACCCACATCACACCTAATTTCTATAGGTCCGAGGCAGAGTGAGAAATCCTTTCCCCTAAATAGTGCCAGCTACCTGAACTTCTACAGGGTGCAGCAGCATAACTTCCTTTTTTCAAAACTTAATAAAACCTATGTTTTGAAGGTCAAATTAGGTAGATGACGGCCCCCATTCTCCATACACTGAGTAAACCGATTTCTGGCATTTGTCATGACTCTTGCCAGCATAGCAGGCGTTATATTGGCAATTTCTTCCTGGATGTTGGTCTTCAAATCTTGTAGGGTCCTTGGACGGTTCACATAAACATGGGATTTCAAAAAAACCCATAGAAAAAAATCACAAGGGGCCAAATCTGGAGATCAGGCCAGCCACTCCAAATCCCCCCTAATTGAAATGAGGCGCTCCGGGAAGTGTTCCCTCAAAACAGCCATCGATGCTCTTGAAGTGTGTGCAGTTGCACCGTCTTGTTGGAACCAAATGTCCCCTAAGTCCAACCCATCTAGCCGTGGGGAAAAAAATTCCTGTAACATGTTTACATACCAGTTCGAATTCACTGTCACTGTGACTTCATTTTCCTCAAACAACCAGGGACCAATAATTCCAGCTGAGGAAATTGCACACCACACTGAGATTTTAGGTGACTGCAAAGGCCTTTGATGCAATTCTCGAGGATTGTTGGCAGCCTAGTAGCTCATGTTTTGTTTGTTGATGGAGCCACACAAATGAAAATGGGCTTCATCACTAAAAAAAACAATAGCGTCCTCAGGAACGACTTCGAGAAGAACCTCACACGTGTTCCTCCAAGAAGTGAAGTCACGTTCAGAAAGTTCCTGCACAATCGCCATCTTGTAAGGATGGAAATGAAGATCATCATGAAGAATTCTCCTCACAGAACCATCGGAAAGTCCAAGGGCAGACGCATGTTTGCGTGCAGAATGCCATGATGATCACAACACTGAAGCTCTCACTGCCTCAATATTCTCAGGTGATCTTATGGGCCAAGGGACTCCAGTTCTTCATCTTGTCACACTTGCAGTTTGTCTGAATGTAGTGACCCACGTCACAATTGATTGTCCAGGACAGGAGCCAATGGGGCTAAATTAAAGCGATTCTGAAAGGTGCGCTGGGTTGCGATCATGGAACATCCGCTTGAAAAGTAGGCCTCAGTGGCAAAAGCACGCTCCTCACTGTTCCAACGCATGATGGCGACTGAACTGTGTCAGGACAAAACTTTATACTCCCGCCTCTCAAACGAGACCACTAGCGCTCCGCTACGTCTTCAACTGACTGAATGGTGCGCATTTTAAAAAAGGAAGTTATGCTGCCGCACCCTGTAGATTCAATAACTTTTACATATTATTTCCTTATGAGTTAAGAGGGTTTTTCTAATCTTTTAAAAAAGAGTTTTAATAGATCTGTTAGTATAATGATATTATGAGGTTTATCCGGAAAGTACGTTTACAAGGCACATAGCACTTGCAGGGAATTTGCTCAGGGGAAGTTGGTATCACTGTCGAGTAGTGGGAAGCCAGCGGAAGCGAACGAGCATTGCCAGTAGCTCATTGACTGGCATTGTGGTGAAGGTTAGAGATGAGCGTTCTCATTCCATTTCCCTCCAAGTGCAAAGTTCATGCTGTAATGTGCTACCTAAATGCAACAGGCATGAACGCATCTGTGATTCATCACAAAATCATTTCAGTTTATGGAGAGGATGTAATGTCAAGACAGCATGTGACAAAATGAGTATGTAATGCAACCATGAAGACACTTCATAGAGCCATCCAAAACAAATGTGGTACATCCTCAAGGAGGTCTAGGAAGAAGATTTAGGGATAAAAATAAATGAAACAGAGTGGCAACAATGATGGAGACAAAGACATTTTAAAAAATTATCAATACGGGTTAAAGAAAATTACTATACGTTAATATGGAATTGGTACCTAACACCAGTAAGAATAGAAAATATAAACTACTCAAAAATTGCTGGAGAGATGCCAAGAATCAGGAACATATATACATATGTGGTGGCAATGTAAATATGTAAGTAATTTTTGGGGGAAAGTATTTAGAGAAATAGAGGATACAATGAACATTAAAATAGAAATAAGTCCTAGTATAGCTTTATTATCATTATATAATAATAAACAATTGAAAAAAGAGGATAAAGATGCAATAACAAACTTATTAACAATAGCAAGATTGCTTATAGCAAGGAATTGGAAAAGAGAAGTAAATATACAAATAGAGGAGTGGTACAAGGAAGTATGGAAATTGGCAGTCAATGATAAGCTGATATCATTAAAAGTTAAAAGAGGTATATGGAAACAAAGTGATTATATTATAATAATATTACAATATAATGGTATAGTGCAATATAGTAATATATAATACTTATATTGTACTATGCTAATAATATAATATATTGTATGAAAATATATCTTGTAAGCCGCTCTGAGTCCCCTTCAGGGTGAGAAGGGCGGCATATAAATGCCGTAAATAAATAAATAATAAATAAATTGATGATGTATGGAGAAAATTTATTGAAAAAGGATTTAAAAAGAAAGAAGGAAAGTTACCTCCACAAGAAGAATTGAAATTTTGGAAATATGATATGTAAAAGCTGTGGCTTGGGAGTGGGGAAGGGGAGCACAGTGGTGAGGGATAGATAATATGTATAAGCAGAAAAATAACAGTAGATGCCAAAAGTTAAAGTATGGTAGGTTGTATTGAATAATATGTATCTGCTATAAAATAAACAATGTATAACAAATGATTTGAAGTATGATAAAATAATTTTAAAAATTAAAAAAAAAACAAATGTGGTGGGATGCTGATGGCGGGAGTCAGTCTCCTTCATGACAATGCGTGTTACACACCGCTCATACAACACAAGAGTTGTTGACTTCCTCTGGTTGGGATATTTTAAGTTATCCCTCTCACAGCCCCTATCTCGCACCCAGTGACTATTATTTGTTCACTAAATTTAAGGAACATCTGGGTGGAAAACACTTTGAATGGTGATTATGTGGAAAAATAACGTAATATGTATGCTACAATCCATGTAAGTGTTATTAAAATATATTCATTCTTTTGTATTTAAAACAAATCTTGTAACCTTACTTTTCGGATAACCCTCATATATTGTTTTCATTTCCCTTTTATGTTTGAAATCTTTCTCCTTTTTTAACTTTGTTTTTATTAGTGGATAACATTAACATAGACACAGACAAATATCGACAATTATTTTAAAAGGAAAGGCAAAACAAAATAAACAAAAAAGATATAAAAAGTCATTGGCATTTTGGAAAGCGAAAGACAGTTGGATTGAGAAAGCAATGGACATTATGAATATGGATCTGCTAACCCAAAAAATTGCCCAGAATAGATCACCATTAAACAAAACAAACTGGAATAACTTTACTAACTTCTTTAAAAAGAAAACTTACAAGTATTGGTAAAAATAGAATAAAGAAGCTCCAAGGGGCAGTAGAGAATAAATGTAAGGTGACTACTATAATTAAAATAAAACATAGAGTAAACGAACCATGTAAACGAACCATGTGTGACTGTTGGTTCTCTTGGACATCTCAGTGGCTTTCGATACCATCGATCATGGTATCCTTCTGGGACGACTCTCTGGGATGGGTCTCGGGGGCACGGTTTTGTCGTGGCTCCGTTCCTTCCTGGAGGGTCGATCCCAGATGGTGAAGCTGGGAGACGCCTGCTCGGACCCCTGGCCTTTGACCTGTGGGGTCCCGCAAGGCTCTATTCTGTCTCCCATGCTTTTCAACATCTACATGAAACCGCTGGGAGAGGTCATCCGGAGTTTTGGAGTTGGGTGCCATCTCTATGCAGATGACACACAACTCTACTACTCCTTTCCACCTAATTCCAAGGAAGCCCCTTGGGTGCTGGACAAGTGCCTGTCCACTGTGTCTATCTGGATGAGGATGAACAAGCTGAAGATCAATCCTGACAAGACAGAGGTCCTCCTGGTCGATCGTAAACCGGATCGGGGTATAGGGTGGCAACCTGTGCTGGACGGGGTTACACTCCCCCTGAAGTCACATGTCCGCAGTTTGGGAGTCCTCTTGGATTCATCACTTACGCTTGAGGCTCAGGCGTCGGCGGTGGCTGGGAGGGCTTTTGCACAATTGAGACTCGTGCGCCAACTGCGACCGTACCTCGTAAAGGCTGATCTGGCGAGGGTGGTCCATGCCTTAATCACCTCTAGATTGGACTACTGTAATGCACTCTACATGGGGCTGCCCTTGAAAATGGCTCGGAAATTTCAGCTGGTCCAGCGGGCGGCGGCCAGGTTGTTGACTGGTGCTCCTTACAGAGAGAGGTCAACCCTCCTCTTTAAGGAGCTCCATTGGCTGCCGTTCATTTTCCGGTCCCAATTCAAGGTGCAGGTGCTTACCTACAAATCCCTAAACGGTTTGGGACCTGCCTACCTGCATGACCGCATCTCCATATATGAACCCACATGTTCCCTCCGTTCATCTGGAGAGGCCCTGCTCGCGATCCCACCTGCGTCACAAGCGCGCTTGGTGGGGACAAGAGACAGGGCCTTCTTTGTGGTGGCCCCCCGACTCTGGAACACCCTCCCCAAGGACATCAGACAAGCCCCAAGTGGGCCTATCCAGAATAGGAAACTGGATAGGTTCCAGTGGGCCTATCCAGAATAGGAAACTCCCAGCATCATGTCCCAGACGCACTTTATTAGAGATTTAAGATTGTCTGCACATTGCACCTATCCTAGAATCCTACATTTCACCTGTCATGTCCAGCACTTTTAACTGTACCCATTACATTTGGCCCGGCCCTAGTTTTTAAATGTGTCATGGTGTATTGTTTTATTGTTTATTGTTCTTGCTTTAATGTTTTTTGGTTTGCTTATGAGTTATATAATGTATTGTTGTTTTATTGAGGGCCTTGGCCTTTGTAAGCCGCATCGAGTCCTTTGGGAGATGTTAGCAGGGTACAAATAAAGTTAATAATAAAAAAATAATAATAAGCAATCTGGAAGTGATAGGAGAATAAAAATTGTGTACATGTATATATATATATATGTATGTCAGATACAGACGTTTCGATGTTTGAAATCCTTCTTAGCCACTTTGAGGATAGATTGGTAGAAAGGTAGAGTGGTAAACTGTTAAAGCCTGCATTATATGGCAGAGCAGATGGAGCCCTAATGTTCCTGTCCTGCCCATCAGTCCCAATGAGTAAGTGATGAAGGGGTTGTGGTTGGGTGCACATGTACATCTAAACACATGTACATCTAAACTCTCCTACTTACACTGCCGTTATAATGCAGACTGAACCGCATTATGTGATCACATAATTCAGTTTAACCACATTGAATTAGATTATATGACCATATAATGCAGATCACTCTGATTATAATGGCAGCATAGGTAGGGCCTCTGACTCTGCATGTGTCTTTCTACTTGTCCTAATCTAAACTGCCTGTTTGTTCTTTTCTGTGCTTATTTGTAGAGATACTTCGAGTTCTTCTCTGCCATAGATACTGTTGTCCTATCTTTACTTCTCTGTGAAGTCTTTCTCAGCTGGTACTATGGATTCTTGTTGTATTGGAAGGTGAGAACAGGACACCAATCTTGAAGCACGTGTCAATTTTCACTGGGTGTTGTCAATCTCCTAAAAACATGCATGTGTACTGTGTTCTATTTCAGCTTTCTAACTAGTGTAGGTAAAGTAAAGGTAAAGGTTTCCCCTTGACATTACGTCTAGTCACGTCCGACTCTTGGAGGTGGTGCTCATCTCCATTTCTAAGCCGAAGAGCCGGCATTGTCCATAGACACCTCCCAGGTCATGTGGCCGGCATGACTGCATGAAGTGCCATTACCTTCCCACCAGAGCGGTGCCTATTGATTTTCTCACATTTGCATGTTTTCAAACTGCTAGGTTGGCAGAAGCTAGGGCTAACAATGGGAGCTCACCCCATCCCATGAATTTGAACCGCTGACTTTCTGGTCAGCAAGTTCTGCAGCTTAGCAGTTTAACTCGCTGCACCACCGCGGCCCCCTAACTAGCGTAGGTAGCCAAACACAAATGCCAACTGAGATCTGTAGATATGCTGGATCTGTTATTTTTTAGAATAGAATTTCTCCATATCACACTCTGTCAGAGCTTTTGATGTTCTGGAAAATCCATTTTAATTCTGTCAAGCGCGGTTGGCGGGGACGAGAGATAGGGCCTTCTCAGTGGTGGCCCCTCGGCTATGGAATGCCCTACCAGTGGACATCAGGCAGGCCCCTTCGTTGCTGGTGTTTCGGAGGAGGGTTAAGACGTGGCTCTATGAGCAGGCGTTTGGACAACTATGCAATGACAACTAACTCAGTAAGACGGCATTGAACAAGGAACGAAAAAGGACTATGAGAACGGGATCTGATTCTAATTGAGGCGCTGATGACTTTGTGTGTTGTTTGTGTATGTGCGTCTTATATATTGTCAGTGTTCCCCTTTTTTACTGTAAACCGCATTGAGTCGCCGTCGCAGGCTGATAAATGCGGTATACAAATGGAGTAAATAAATAAATAAATAAATAAAAATAAATTCTATTTCAAATTAAATTTAAGCTCATATCCTTATTTGCACAAACAAAATTGGGAGACGGTACTAAATACTTTTGCAGAGGTGGATGTGATGCCTTTATTTATAATGTTATGTTGTTTTTAATGTTAACTTTAACTTTTTTTATACCCCGCCACCACCCTAGGGGCTTACAAGGGACAAGCCCAAAAATTACAGATAAAAACAAAAACACAATAAAATCAATCAAATAAAATATAAAACAAACACAATCAAAAACAACATCATAAAGCAGTATGGCTGAAATAAAGGGAACATAGCTGAGTTCTGGTTCAAAAGTGCATTAATTCCTGACAGAAGCCCATGGAACGTGCTGAAATTGAAAGAAACAAGGGCTGGGGAACTACTGCTGAATGTGTCGAGGTGGCCAATAAGAGGGCCAAAATAAAGTGCAGAGCTTAAAGTAGGGACAGGACAGTTTTCTGGTGAACTGCTTAATCAAAGGCACAAGGAAACATCCAGGTTTTTAGTTCCCTCCGAAAAGAGGACAAAGTGGGAGCCTGTCTGATCTCCCTAGGGAGGGAGTTTCAGAACTGGGGGGCCACTACTGAAAAGGCCCTCTCCCTCATTGACACCAGCCGCGTTTGAGATAGTGGTGGAAGAGAGAACAGAGCCTCCCCAGAAGATCTCAGGTCCGTACTGGTTCATAGGGGAAGATGCGATCATGAAGATAGGCAGGTCCCGAACCGTTCAAGGCTTTATATGTGATCACCTGCACCTTGAATTGGGACCGGAAACTTATTGGAAGCCAGTGGAGCTGTTTAAACAGGAGGGTAGACCACTCCCTGTAACTAGCTTCCGTGAGCAATCTGGCCACAGATCTTTGGAAAACTGAAGTTTCCAGGCTGTCTTCAAGGGCAGCCCCACGTAGAGTGCATTGCAGTAGTCCAACCTAGATGTAACTAGTGCATGGACCACCATGCCCAAGTCAGATTTCACAAGGTACGGGTGAAAGGCCCTTCCAGCTACCGATGACACCTGAGCATTAAGTGTCAAAATGAAGTCCAGAAGGAACCCCAGGCTGCGAACCTGTGTCCTCAGGGGTGTGTGACCCCATCAAGCACGGGTAGCCATCCTATACCCCGATCATTCCTACGACTGGCTAGAAGGACCTCTGTTTTGTCAGGATTAAGTTTAATCCTGACAAAACAGGTCCCAATTCAAGGTGCAGCCCTGAATGGTTTTGGACCCGCCTACCTGCGCGACCGCATTTCTGTCTACGAACCGACACGACCTCTTTGATCTTTTAGAGAGGTGCTTCTCTCGCTCCTGTCCTCATCGCAAGCGTGACTTGTGGGGACTAGAGAGAGGGCCTTCTCTGTGGTGGCCCCCCAGTTCTGGAATTCGCTCCCCAGAAATATTAGGCAAGCCCCCACCCTGGCAATTTATCAGAAGGAGCCTGAAAATGTGGCTGTTCCAATGTGCCTTCAACGAGTGAATGTATGATAACCCCTGGCCTAACTTTGCATAAAATACCCTCAGAAGCACTTTATTTTCTGGTTTGTGCAATTAAATCCTACTCCCCCCCCCCCCCGGGACCCCTTGCCTGATATTTTACATTGCCCTATCCCGGTGGTGCAGTGGGTTAAAGCCCTGTGCTGGCAGGACTGAAGACCGACAGGTCGCAGGTTCGAATCCCGGGAGAGGCGGATGAGCTCCCTCTATCGGCTCCAGCTCCTCATGCGGGGACAAGAGAGAAGCCTCCCACAAGGATGACAAAACATCAGAAATCATCCGGGCGTCCCCTGGGCAACGTCCTTGCAGACGGCCAATTCTCTCACAACAGGAGCGGTTGCTCCTGACACGACAAAAAAAAAGTGTTTTAAAATTTTAATCTTTGGTTTGGCCCTGTCCACTGTGATCATTTTCAGTTGTTCTAATGTTTTGATTTTATATTGTTTGGCTGCTTATTTACATTGGTCCTGTATTTTACGTTATTTTATTTTCTGATTTTCTGTTGTGTTTTTGCGTTATATTGTGTTTACTGTATTGATGGACCCTCATGTAAACTGCCCGAGTCCTCTCGGGGAGATGGTGGCAGGGTATAAATAAAGTATTATTATTATTACTATTACTATTACTATTATGAATGTTGCTGTTAAATACTTTAAAAAAAACCCCTCCACATTGGTTCCAAATAAAACTGGAAAAATACTTTTTTGGACTACTACTCCCATTAGCCCCAGTCATTATTATTAGTGCCATCTTTATAAATAAAAATGTAATGTTCGTTTGTGGGATTAACAGAACTCAAAAACCACTGGGAATTGACACCAAATTTGGACACAATACACCTAACAACCCAATGTATGTCCTTCACTCATAAAAACACTGAAAAACACACCAGAAGGGACTTTAAAAGGCCCCCAAAAGCTAAATGACCAAAATGACAATACAGAAAAAATGGAAGAAAGAGGGAGGAAAGGGGAGAAAGAAAGAAAGAAAGAAAGAAAGAAAGAAAGAAAGAAAGAAAGAAAGAAAGAAAAAGAAAGAGGGGAAAGAAGGAAAGGGAGAAGGAAGCATGGAAGCAAAGAGAGAAGGAAGGAAAGAGGTAGAGAAGGAAGAAAGGAGAGAAAGAGGGAGGGAAAGAAAAAGGAAGGAAAGTTAGAGAAGGAAGGAAGGAGAGAAAGAAATAAAAAAGGGAAAGAAGGAAGGAAGGAGGGAGCAAAGGAAGGGGGAAGATGTAGAGAAAGAGGGAGGGAAGGAAAGAGAAGGAAGGAAGAGACAAAAGAAGAGAAAGAAAAAGGGGGAAGGAAGGAAAGAGATAGAGAAGGAAGGAAGAGAAGAAGGAGGAAGGAAGGAAGGAAGGAGGAAGAAGGAGAAGGAAGAGGAAGGAGGAAGGAAGGAAGGAGAGAGGGAGTGAAGGAAGGAGGGAAAGAAGGAGAGAAAGAGGGAAGGTTGGCCACAGCAACGCGTGGTGGGTACAGCTAGTCTACAATAAAAAAGATTTTTCGTGGGCTGTGTGAGAGGTATATCAGTGTAAGCTTCAAACAGTATTTCTCTCTATTGTTCTTTTTCCACAGGATGGCTGGAACATCCTCAACTTTTTTATCGTGGTAGCTCTCTTCATTGGCTTTCTTATTCCATCGCTGAATGATAAAACCTTTTTCCACATGCTCAGGTAGGACTGGGGAACTGGGAGCCTATTTGTCTCCCCAAAATATGTCAGGAATGCCTTTAGAACCTTAAAAATGGTCTTTCCTCCAATTTCATTGGGATAGATTACTTTCAGAGGAAGAAGTAGACACACAGACCCAGAACTGGTTTTATAATAGCTATATTGGTTACACAAACAAGGGGAACATTCACACTTACTTAGCATTCGCTCCACATACATTGTATCCATCCATGCTCACTGTCCTTCTTCAATCAGTTCATCTTGGAAGGAGGCGGGCAGAGGCGGCCCTAGGTAATTTTCAATGGTAAGCAAACAGTATTTTGCCCCCACCCCAAACCATATAAATATAGGGGCATGTGTATATATATGTATCCCAATATTCCAATCCATTCAAAAAACACTATGGTTTCAGATAGTGACCATCCAATTGCAAAAGGGCCAACACTGCCCAAATCCCTCTCATTTCACATCTCGAAGATCAAATCAACAACCCACCCATTAAACAGGCAGTCCCAAACATCCAATTCCTAGTTAAGAACAGGGGTGAGACAGCAGGAAGTGAGAGAAATTGACCACTCAGAAGGGAAATTGTGTCCTGAAAGAGCGAGCCCTTGTCGTCCCGGCCTGAGAGCTGTGCGAAAGGCAAAGCCCCGCCGCAGCCATTTTGGGTCCGAGCGCGTTCTACTTACTTCTGCAGGCTCACATAGCGAAAGGGGGCGGGGCCAGCAGGGCTCAGCCCAATGGGAGGCGCGCGTGGCAAGTCCTGCAGGCCAAGGGAGACAAAAATGCCAGCGTGTGTCCTTCTCCAGGTGTTAGGAGAAGGACACACGCTGGCGTTTTTGTTAGAAGAAGGACACACGCTGGCGTTTCCCTAACGCCAGGAAAGTGACGCGCAGCGGCGTTGCTGGGCATGCGGGAAAAGAGGTCTCGTGCATGCCTCTTTTCCCGCGTGCCCGGCAACACTTCTGCACATCCCTTTCCCGGCATTAGGAAGTGCGCGCCCTGCATCGCCCCTCCTTCTCTGCGCACTTCCTAACACCTGGAGAGGGACGCACACTGGTGTTTTTGTCTCTCTTGCCCTGTGAGGAGGAGGAGGAGAGGCCCAATGGGCACTTATGAGGGAGGGAGAGCGAGCTGCCTCTTGGTGTTCTTCGGGGCAGGGACACCTCAAGAGCTCCCCAAGAGCGCCCCCCCCCAAGACGCACGCTATACGCAAAAGCATAATTTGCATACCGTGTTGAGCCGCCTCTGGAGGTGGGTGTTCAGACTCTGCATTCCCCGCAGATCTGACACACTTTTCTGAGAGGAAAGGGTCTCCTTATGTAGCAATTCTTGCTGTTGGTGTTCTGGATTGTTTTTACAACCTGTTATTCAGCTAAGACTTGCTGAAACTCCATCAGTTCCGAACATGCATTGTTTTTCGTCCTTAACCTAAGGAGCTGTTGTTTCTGACTTCCTAAACTTAATGAGCAATTATCTCATGTGTTGTTTACACCAGTGTCTCAACCTTCCTAATGCTGTGACCCCTTAATACAGTTCCACATGTTGTGGTTACCCAAAACCATAAAATTATTTTCATTGCTACTTCATAACTCTGAGTTTGCTACTGTTATGGATCGTAATGTAAATATCTAATATGCAGGATGTATTTTCATTCACTGGTCCAAATTTTGGCACAAATACCCGATATGACCAAATTTGAATACTGGTGGGGTTACAGGAGTGCGGTGGAATTGATTTTGTCATTTGAGAGTTGTAGTTCTGTGTGCCAAGTTTTGGTTCAATTCTGAACTCCACGTTCAGAATGCTCTTTGATTGAAGGTGAATGTGGAGTTCAGAATTGAACCAAAACTTGGCACACAGAACTCCCATGACCAACAGAAAATACTGGAAGAGTCTGGTGGGCATTGACCTTGAGTTTGGGAGTTGAAGTTCATCTATATCCAGAATCATAGAATCATAGAATCAAAGAGTTGGAAGAGACCTCATGGGCCATCCAGTCCAACCCCCTGCAAAGAAGCAGGAATATTGCATTCAAATCACCCCTGACAGATGGCCATCCAGCCTCTGTTTAAAAGCTTCCAAAGAAGGAGCCTCCACCACACTCTGGGGCAGAGAGTTCCACTGCTGAACGGCTCGCACAGTCAGGAAGTTCTTCCTCATGTTCAGGTGGATAACTACGGAAAAATTTGGTTCTAAACTCGTTTCGTTTTTAGGGGGTTTTTGCGTTTCGTTTTTTAAAAGAATTCCGAAATTTTTCTTTAAAAAAGTTCGAAATATACGAAATTTCGTAAATTACGAAACAATTACGAATCGATTCGTTAATGGCGGACGCGATTGCGCAATATGCTAAAAAACCCTCCAAATGGGACAGGGGGAACTTCTGAAGCTTCCCTCTCCCTCTGTTGTTGACTGTTGGTGTGATAATTTATTTTTTATCACTGATAAAACAAACAACAACCCTAAAACTTGCACCAGACATTCGGAAACAATTTCGAAACAATTTCGAAACAATTTCGAAATTGTTTCGAAATAAATTGAAAATTTTTTTAGTATATACAGCATAAAATGGGGCGTGGGGGGTGCGAAAGGGGATAAGAGGTGGGGGTGGGGGGGTTGAGAGGAGGGGAGGGAGGAGGTGTGGGGGAGGGTTGAGATTGGAGGGGGTAGGGAAAGGGGAAAGAAGAGAAGGGGGGAAGGGGAAGGGGATTGTCCCAGAGTGGGTTGACTTCCCATAGTCTTCAAAGGTAAGAGTCTTTTGGTATTGTTTTCTTGTGAAAAAATAATACGGCGTGACTTAAGAAAGTTTAGTGTTTCTCTCAGATGCTGGCTAGGTCGATTGACAGCGTTAGTTTCTTGTTCGTTTCGATGTATTCCTTAAAGACCGTCCAGTTTGTCTTCTTGGATGAGTTGTTTAAACGTTGTGATAGACAGTCCATTTGGATTATTTCAAATGACTTTAAGATCCAATCTTCTGTTGCGGGTATTTCTTTTTTTTCCCATAGTTTGGCTAGCGTTATTCTAGCTGCCGTGCTTAGTAGAAAAAATAATTTGTCCTGGTTGGCATTAAATTTGGGAAAGGAGATACCTAAAAGATACAATTCTGGGAGTTGTGGGAAATTGATATTTAGTATTTTTTGTATAGCTAAGTGTATTCCTCTCCAGTATTTCCTAACCTTTTTGCACGCCCACCATTGGTGGAAGTATGTTCCTGTCTCTTTTTGGCACTTCCAACATTTATTTGAAAAGTTTTTACTGAATTTAGAGATTTTCACTGGTGAGTAGTGCCATCTGAAAAACATCTTATGCCAATTTTCTTTAAGATCGCTTGCTACTGTGTATTTTAATTTGGAGTTCCATATTTCCTCCCATTGTCTTGTTAAAATGTTATGGCCTATATCTTTGGCCCATTTTACTTGACAATCCTTAATTTGTTCGTCTTCCGTTTCCCAGCCTAGCAGTTGTTTATATGCTATTTTAATTAGTTTTTTTCTTTTTGCAATATTGTTTCCCAAAATCCTTGTTTCCGACAGAACCCTATCTTTTCATCTTTTTTAAAGTGTTGGAATAGTTGGTGGTGTTGTAACCATGTGAATTTGGGGTTCAAATGTTTTATTTCCTCTATAGATTTTAAGTATAATTTTTGATCCTCGCCGACTTTCAGAATTTGGTTATAGGTTAGCCATTTTTCACCGCCTATCTCTCTCTTGTGTAGCGCTTCGATTGGTGAGATCCACATGGGGGTTTTATTGTAGAGTCGTGGTTTATATTTCTCCCATGTTTTAATTAGGGCAGCCCTTATGTAGTGGTTGTTGAAAGATTTTTCTATTTTTCTTTTGTCGAACCAAATATATCCATGCCATCCTAATCTGAGGTCTGAACCTTCTAATGCTAGTAATTTGGGGTTTTGGAGGGTGCACCATTCTTTGATGGCAACTAAATTACACGCCTCATAGTACAATTTTAAATTTGGTAGTCCTAAACCACCTCTTTTTTTTCATCTGTGAGAATTTTATGGCTGATTCTTGCTTTTTTGTTTTTCCAAATGAATTTGATGATGTCTGACTTCCATTTTTTGAAGAGGAAGTCATTCCTAATAATCGGTAACGATTGAAAAAGGAATAAGATTTTGGGAAGAATATTCATTTTTATGGTGGCAATTCTACCTAGTATGGAGATATTTTGGTGTTTCCATTTTTCCAAATCTGCTTTGATGTTTTTCCATAGGGCTTCATAGTTGTTCTTTATTAAATTGATATTACTTGGCGTTATAGTGACACCTAAATATTTTATTTTATTTTCGATTTTTATTCCAGATTTGTCTTGTAATAGGTCTTTAGATTTTTTATCCATGTTTTTGACTAACATTTTGGTTTTGTGCATATTCAATTTGAATCCGGCCAGATTTCCAAAGGTTTCAATTTTCCTTATCCAATTGTTTATACTTACCAGAGGGTCCTCTACGATGCAAACCACGTCGTCGGCATAAACTCTAAGTTTGAATTGGTGTTTCTTGATTCTTATTCCCTGTAGCTTTGGATCTTCATTTATGTTTTTAATCAGTGTATCCATAATTAGTATAAACAACAGTGGCTAGAGTGGGCACCCTTGACGTGTGCCTTGGCAAATTTGGATAGGAATGTTTGATTCTTGCCCGTTTATAATGAGAGTGGCTTCTTGCCTTGTATATATTGCCTCTATTGCGTTGTAAAAATTGTAACCAATGTCAATTTCTTTTAGTAAGAATTTTAGATAATCCCAATTAATTTTATCGAACGCCTTTTCGGCGTCAATAAATAAAAGGGCGAGCTGTTTCTCGTTATGTTTTTCATAGTACTCAGTGGTGTCTATGATTATGCGAGTGTTGTCCTTTATTTGTCTATTGGGCAAGAAACCTGTTTGGTCTTCAGATATCCAATTTTTAAGTAATTTTTTAAGTCTGTCTGCCATAATACTGGTGAAGATTTTGTAATCAGTATTTAGGAGGGAGATGGGTCGGAAAT